TGGCCCCTAACAATAACATCTACCTTTCCAGGTAGAGACTGCCCAGTTTTCTCCCGTGGAGTAGTTGGTGGGTGTAAAGTGCCAACATTTGGTCAGCAGCGTAACACACAGCTCACTACAGTGCCAAGGCTCCTTAAAGTAACTATAAACAAAACAAAAAATCCAAACTCATTGCCATTAAATCAATTCTGACTCATGGTGACACTCCATCAGAGACTGGCCATCATTCTCCTTTGGACAAGCCAATGGATTTGAACTTGCAGCCAACCTTTCAGTTAGCAGCCCAAGACTTAACGTACTATGCTAACGGGGTTCTTTAGAGCATCCAGACGTATATGTAAATACAGATAATGTGGGTGGAGGCACATAAATTCATTGACAATACAAATACAGTGACTTCTCAGAATAACCATACACCTTCCAACACTAGTCTTCTGGGTTTAAAGGCAACACCACAGTCTCGTGAGACAACTCGGTCAAGTGGCACAATATAGTCCATGAAAATCATGATCTGTGGCCTAGAAAAGTGAGTAGCATCTGGCATTTTAAAATCCTGCAAGGGCACCACAACATGATAAAGGTAAACAACTCAATCACACAATGGGCACAGGATATGAACAGACACTTCACCAAAGAAGACCTTCTGACAGCAAACAAAGATATAAATATTCAAAATCCCTAGCTCTAAAAGAGATGCAAAACAAAACAACTATGAAATATCATCTCACCCCAGTAAGAATAGCAAAATTCAACAGAGCAGCAAACAATAAATGCTGGAGAGGTTGTGGAGAAACTAGAACCCTTATTCACTGTTGGTGGGAGTGTAAGATGGTGCAATCACTATGGAAGGCAGTATGGCATTCTCTCAAAAAGTCAGAATTAGAAATATCATTTGACTCAGTAATTGCACTACTGGAAATATACCCTAAAGAAACCAGAACTACCGCCCAAACAGATATATGCAAACCTATGTTTACTGCTGCATTGTTCACAATAGGAAAAAAAGATGGATATAACCCATGTGCCCATCAACAAACAAAAAGAGAAGCTGTGGTACAGTCACACAATGGAATACTATGCAGCACTGAAAAACAAGGAATTCATAAAATATCATACAAAATGGGTGACCTTCGAGGACATTATGCTAAGGTTAATATCTCAGTAACAAAAGGACAAATACTACATAATGTCATTGTTATAAAACACAACTGACATGGAGGGTAGGGGAAAACTAAGGAAAGAAGGGTAAATAATGTACCCTACATTGAAGCAAATGAGGAAAGAACTGTTTAAAAGGAATATAAGATTAGGTATTATTTGCATGACAAGAGTCCAGAATAGTGAAGTGGACTCCGGGAAGGGGGGGGGGGAGGAGGAAATTTTGCAACAATGGAAAAATTTTTTTTCAAAGAGAAAAGCAAACTTGTGGGATGGGCAGGTAGGAATATGTGCAACAATGAATGAACAGAAATCCAAGTTCCCTAAAAACTTTCATTAA